ATAAATTAATTTAGCCACAACATTCTGTGTGCCAGACAGCCACTTACTGGTATGTAATGCTTCTGTAGAGGCCAATGCATAGCAGATGGACCACGGAGCAATCACGTCACCCTGGACATAGGGGAGAGGGGGATCCCTTCCACCCTAGTATGCACATCTATAGTTTACTGGGCTGAAAAAATGACTATTCACTCCTAATGTGTCCCTTTACTGGAAGGTAGGATATACTTCAATGTGTCCATCCTGGTAAAATATTTTATAAATAAATAAATGTCTCTTTCTAGCAGCAGATAGAGGGAAGGGCCATTGTACAGAACACTGGTGAGACCTCACTTGGAGTATTGTACGCAGTACTGGAGACCATATCTTCAGAAGGATATTGATACTTTAGAGAGGGTTCAGAGAAGGGCTACTAAACTGGTTCATGGATTGCGGGATAAAACTTACCAGGAAAGGTTAAAGGATCTTAACATGTATAGCTTGGAGGAAAGACGAGACAGGGGATATGATAGAAACATTTAAATACATAAAGGGAATCAACACAGTAAAGGAGGAGACTATATTTAAAAGAAGAAAAACTACCACAACAAGTGGACATAGTCTTAAATTAGAGGGACAAAGGTTTAAAAATAATATCAGGAAGTATTACTTTACTGAGAGGGTAGTGGATGCATGGAATAGCCTTCCAGTTGAAGTGGTAGAGGTTAACACAGTAAAGGAGTTTAAGCATGCGTGGGATAGGCATAAGGTTATCCTAGATATAAGATAAGGCCAGGGACTAATGAAAGTATTTAGAAAATTGGGCAGACTAGATGGGCCGAATGGTTCTTATCTGCCGTCACATTCTATGTTTTGTTGGTTATATGTCCCTTTGCTGGGAAGTAGGATATATGTTGCTTAACTGGGAAGTAGAATATATGTCACTTTTGTGTGGGTTAGGCCATGTGTCCCTTCCCTGGGGGAGTAAAAGTGTATTTTAGCGTATTTTATTATTTGCTGTTTCGTTCAGGTGTGATTTAAGCAAAACAATTAACTCATATAGTATTTGTCCTACCTAGAATGTGGGGGTAAAAGTGTATTTTAGCATATTTTATTATTTGGAGTTAGTTATTTTGCTTATTGTGCCACTTACTCACACCTGAACAAAATGGCAAATAATAAAATACGCAAAAATACACTTTTACACCCTGGAAATAGAATATATGTCCATTTCATGGAGAGGGTAAGATAAATGTCTCGTTATTGTGGGTTAGGGTATATGGCCCCTTACTGGAGAGGGTAGGACTCATGTCACTTTGTTGTGGGTTACGATATGTATCCCTTTAATGGGGGGCATGGTATTTGTCACTTTTGCCTAGTGGTAGGATATTTGTCACTTTATTGTGGGTTAGGATATATATCCCTTTATTGTGGGTTAGGATATATACGGGGGGGGGGGCACGATATTTGTCCATTTAGACTGGTGGTAGGATATGTCACTTTATTGTGGGTTAGGATATATATCCCTTTATTGTGGGTTACAATATATGTCCTTTTAATGGGGGGCAGGGTATTTGTCACTTTATTGTGGGTTAGGATCTATATCCCTTTATTGTGGGTTACGATATATGTCCTTTTAATGGGGGGCAGGATATTTGTCACTTTATTGTGGGTTAGGATATATATCCCATTACTAATAGCAGGGTGAGCTGTAGTGACTGTGAAGGACAGTTAAACGATGTGTCCCCCTGTGGCCGCTCATTATGGATTATTATGGATATTCAGGTAATAATAATAATAATAATAGTGGGGTGAGCTGCAGTGACTGTGATGGACAGTTAGAGGATGAGTCCCCTGTGGCCCCTCATTATGGGTTACTGGGGATATTCAGGTAATAATAATAATAATAGTGGGGTGAGCTGTAGTGACTGTGATGGACAGTTAGAGGATGAGTACCCTGTGGCCGCTCATTAAGGATTATTGGGGATATTCAGGTAATAATAATAATAGTGGGGTGAGCTGTAGTGACTGTGATGGACAGTTAGAGGATGAGTCCCCTGTGGCCGCTCATTATGGGTTACTGGGGATAATAATAATAGTGGGGTGAGCTGCAGTGACTGTGATGGACAGTTAGAGGATGAGTCCCCTGTGTCCGCTCATTATGGATTACTGGGGATAATACTAATAGTGGGGTGAGCTGTAGTGACTGTGATGGACAGTTAGAGGATGAGTCCCCTGTGGCCGCTCATTATGGGTTACTGGGGATAATAATAATAGTGGGGTGAGCTGCAGTGACTGTGATGGACAGTTAGAGGATGAGTCCCCTGTGGCCGCTCATTATGGGTTACTGGGGATAATAATAATAGTGGGGTGAGCTGTAGTGACTGTGATGGACAGTTAGAGGATGAGTACCCTGTGGCCGCTCATCAAGGATTATTGGGGATATTCAGGTAATAATAATAATAGTGGGGTGAGCTGTAGTGACTGTGATGGACAGTTAGAGAATGAGTCCCCTGTGGCCGCTCATTATGGGTTACTGGGGATAATAATAATAGTGGGGTGAGCCGTAGTGACTGTGATGGACAGTTAGAGGATGAGTCCCCTGTGGCCGCTCATTATGGGTTACTGGGGATAATAATAATAGTGGGGTGAGCTGCAGTGACTGTGATGGACAGTTAGAGGATGAGTCCCCTGTGGCCGCTCATTATGGGTTACTGGGGATAATAATAATAGTGGGGTGAGCCGTAGTGACTGTGATGGACAGTTAGAGGATGAGTCCCCTGTGGCCGCTCATTATGGGTTACTGGGGATAATAATAATAGTGGGGTGAGCTGTAGTGACTGTGATGGACAGTTAGAGGATGAGTCCCCTGTGGCCGCTCATTATGGGTTACTGGGGATATTCAGGTTAATAACAAGCGGCTCCCCTTGCGGTTTACCATTACCAATAACAAACAATGAGATTAAAGCCATTTACACGGAACATTCCGGCAGCTCTTACCCAGCCCACACACCGTCCATCCAGTCTGCGGATCCTTCCCGGGCATGGAGGACACGGAACGCAGCTCCAACCCTGATTGGCTGACTGTCCGGCTCCGCCCACTCGATCTCCGTAAACAGCGTGCTTTCACTTAGCAACAACAGCTTCGGTCCACTCGCAGAGTGCTAATCCCTAGAGCACCGCGTATAAATATGTCTAACACAACGGAAGTCTCTAGCGCTTTGAACTCTGTAGCCAGCTTCCTAGTAAAGGCAGGGGTTTCAACCAGCTTTATTAACACGTGTGTCCTCAGACAGGTTTTGATGTGCAGTCCTAGTAAAATAATACACTACTGATGTAGAGTAACATTATTTATATGAGTGCACCTTTTCTAATGGTTCCACGGCTTACTCCAGGAAAAGCTTCCTGACATCCCTCACAAGCAAAGCTGCCAAGCCCACCATCTAGTGTGGAAGTGGGATTCTATTAAAGGGGGAATTATAGTCCCCAGAACAAGTGCAGCTTGATGTAGTGGCTGTGGTGTCTACTGACTGTCTCTGCTGGCTTTTTAATGGAAAAACTACCTTTTCTTAGAAAAGGCAGTGTTTACAGTACTGCCTAGTAACACCTCTAGTGACAGTCACTCAGATGGCTACTAGAGGTGCTTCCTGGTTCAGTACTGCACAGTGTGCACTAGCCTCCAAAGATTTTCCTATGGTAAATCATTGGAATGGGTGAGATCATCGGGGCTGGCCAGATGCGACATGACCGCATGGCGCTTGAAATAGGTTGAGTTTAACACCTGTTTTGTTATAGGAAAGCAAGGCTAAGAAGCACATAAGAGAATGGACACGGATTCCAGGAAGCGAACATTGATTTATTTTTGCAGCTTAAAATGTCTCAGTCAGACAATAGTCTTGGAATACCCGACTCAGTGCACGTTTACAAAAGAACAAAGAATATACACCACAAATGACATATTCCATACGTATACAGAGAATACAGACATTACTGTAGTTACATCCAATTAATAAACTAAAACTTATCTCTTACAATGTTATCTAATAGTGGGCGTTCCTGACATTCCACACATGCGCCCTGGTCCAAGATATTTGCGCAGTAGTTTTAACCATCTGAGTACTGAACTTTTCTTGAATATCCTGTAGCTTCTACCACATTTTAACAGGGGACGGGGGAGAGACAGACACCTAATCAGCTCATCTAAAACTATAGTGTCAGAAATATATGTTTGTATTCCTGACACTATAGTATTTCTTTAATCCATGAGGTATCCGAAAATAGACTTGTGCATATATTATTTTCATATGGTACAAACTATGCAAATTCCTTTTAATCTAAACCCAAACTAATCAATCTGTCCAGGATTTACCAGTGGATTGAATGAAAAAAATTAAACGAGTGAATCCCTGACGGATCTAGGGCCGCCACCTTTCTTGGAAAAAAATATTGTCCATAATTAATTATATATTAATGACATCAGAGGATATGATGTACCGGACGTTGCGTGACATCACAGGGAGCGACAACGGAGAAATGCATTTGCATGCCCCCCTACCTGCCTCATTCAGTCTGAGATGTAACGGTACAGTTGATTACAGTAGAGGCAGCTAAGCTTTTTGTGTGATGAAGCTATCTTGCTATTGACTCTTAACATTGATAATTCTTTGCTGACTAAACCTCCTCTCTTTTATTTAATATGTCACCCTATATAGTAGTAAAGGTCTCTGTTTATGAAGACTGACTGGAACACAACCAGCAGATGAGACTGTTGACTGTGTTAACCTGTCTGTATCTGGAGTACAATCTGTCTCAATTAATTACACTGTTTCACTGTACCTGGATAAAGAAACATCTGGTAGCACTTAGAAGTTCATGTATTCTTTGTTTTGTATTCAATGTCACTATAGGATAGTTAACCACAAACTGTAAACTATATGCACACCATAAACAGTTTACTAATGTTTAGTAGAAGTGATCATTTAAAGGGACACTATAGTCACCTGAACAACTTTAGCTTAATGAAGCAGTTTTGGTGTATAGAACATGCCCCTGCAGCCTCACTGCTCAATCCTCTGCCACTTAGGAGTTAAATCCCTTTGTTTATGAACCCTAGTCACACCTCCCTGCATGTGACTTGCACAGCCTTCCATAAACACTTCCTGTAAAGAGAGCCCTATTTAGGCTTTCTTTATTGCAAGTTCTGTTTAATTAAGATTTTCTTATCCCCTGCTTATAGCTTGCTAGACCCTGCAAGAGCCTCCTGTATGTGATTAAAGTTCAATTTAGAGATTGAGATACAATTATTTAAGGTAAATTACATCTGTTTGAAAGTGAAACCAATTTTTTTTTCTGTCAATCATAGCCAGGGGAGGTGTGGCTTGGGTTGCATAAACAGAAACAAAGTGATTTAACCCTTTAACCCCTTAAGGACTGGACTGTTTTTGCGATGTTGTACATTTGCGACCAGGCATATTTTTACACTTTTGTGGTGTTTGTATTTGGCTGTAATTTTCCGCTCTCTCATTTACTGTTCCCATACAAATTATATATTGTTTTTTTCAGGACAAAAGGGGCTTTCTTAACATACCATTATTTATATAATCTCATGTATTTTAATTTAAAAAAAATAAAAAAATACATGTTTTTTGACTTTTACTTGAAAAATCTTTTACTCATCTACAAAAGCGAATGAAAAAAACTGCTAAATAGATTCAAAATTTTGTCCTGAGTTTAAAAATACCCAGTGTTTACGTGCTTTTTGCTTTTTTTTGCATGTTATAGGGCTATAGGTACAAGTAGGATATTGCGGTTTCAAAACATACATTTTTTAAATTTATCAATAGTGACATTGTAACACTATTATCTGTCATAAATCTCTGAATAACACCCACATGTACATATTTTTTTTTAAAGTAGACAACCCAGGGTATTCAATATGGGGTATGTCCAGTCTTTTTTAGTAGCCACCTAGTCGCAAACACTGGCCAAAGATAGCGTTCGTATTTGTTTGTGTGTGAAAAAAGTAAAAAACTAAATTGAACACTAATTTTGGCCAGTGTTTGTGACTAAGTTGCTACTAAAAAGACTGGACATACCCCATTTGCAATACTTTGGGTTGTCTTCTTTTGCAAATGGTATGCCATCATGGGGGTAATTCTCATTCCTGGGCTACCATACGCTCTCAAAGGCAACGTAACCAACCTGGCCATTTTCAATGTAAAAATATTTGACCCATATATTTGACCTTGTAACTTTCAAAAATGCTATAAAACCTGTACATGGGGGGTACTGTTTTACTCAGGAGACATCGCTGAACACAAATATTAGTGTTTAAAAACTGGAAAACGTATCACAACAATTATATCATCAGTAAAAGTGCTGTTTGTGTGTGAAAAATGCAAAAAAAGTCACTTTCACTGACAATATCATCGCTGTGATATGTTTTACTGTTTTGAATCACTAATATTTGTGTTCAGCGAAGTCTCCCGAGTAAAACAGTACCCCCCATGTACAGGTTTTAGGGTGTCGTAGAACGTTACAGGGTAAAATACAGTGCTAGCAAATTAAATTCTCTGGAATTTCGGCCTGGGTTGGCAGGCAGGTCCCTCAAATTGCAATCAATAAAATTACTGAATTATGTAAAAATATTACATAAATACGCACGTAGAATTTAAATATATATGCATATTTATATATTTGAAGTCTACGTGTATATTTATATAATTATTTATGTAATTTTGTATATGGACATATGTATATTTCTTATTATTTTTATTTATTTTTATATACATAGATATATATACAAATTCATTCTAAGTGTATTTTGATATAAATATATATATATTAATTTTAAAATACAGTTAGAATAAAATTTCATATAGATATATAATTTTTTAAATTTTTTTTATTATTATTTAAATTTTTTAAATTTAATTTAAATTACTTATTATTTATATTTTATAATAATATATATATACAATATATATAGTTATTATATATATTGTATATATACGTGTGTAATTTAATTATAAGTGTATTTTTATATTAATATAAGTACATATTGTAAAATGGAAAGGGGTATAGCATCTAGTTTAAACATTAATATCTGTCTATATGAGATATGGGATAAATGGATAAAGATTCTTGAAAATTTAACATAAGATAGTTTATTTAAAGATAAAAAGGAGTCCCCTGAAAGGGTGGTAGCAAATAGGTGTTAGGAAGGATATAATATACGATATCATGAATACATTGTCAACTTTATTGTTAGTTATGTTTTGTAAGTATGTAATATTAGCTCAGCAGTAGAGAGGAAAGAGAAGGTTATTCTATCTTATGTTTCTGACACTTCCTTTCTTTACTGAAGCTTAAAGGTTGGAAATATTTTTTGTGGAGAACAAGAATAATGTTTAGTAAGGAGTTAGAGCTACAAGCATTGAATCACTTTATGATTGTCTCCATGTAATTATTTTTGTATGCATTTTACTGTCTGTGTATTTTTTATATGTATGTATAATACATGTTAAAAAAAAAAGAAAAACGAATAAATAAATTATTAAAAAAAATATATAAGTACATATTAATATAAAAATACACTTAGTATGGCATTATATATATATGATATATAGACATATATTATATAGATATAATATATGTCTATATATCATATATGTATACACATATATAATTATTTTTTTTATAATATATATTTTTTATTTTTTATTAACATTAACTTTATTTTTTTAAATGATTTTACACTAGCAGGGAGACTGCCTGTCAGCACAGGCAGTCCCCCTGCAGGCAGACACTAGGACACCTATTGTGACCATGTGATTGCTGTGTTAAGTGATCACATGGCCCCAGGGGTCCTACTTCAGTGTGGGGAGACTGTCTGGGCTGCAGGCAGTCTCCCCACAACCGGAGCAACGCTGATCGCCGCCGGGGGAACGACGGCGATCAGGTAAGTAACGGAGACCGTTAGGACGGTTCAGGACCGTCATCGGTCGGCAAGGCAAAAATGCCGATGACGGTCCTGAACCGTCCTCGGTCGCGAAGGGGTTAAGGACGGAGCCAAATGTACACGTTGTGAACAAAACAAAATGTAAACAAAACCTGGCATTTGCGTTACATGTCTGTCCAACCGTAATTCACCTCTTTCATAGTAAATGCACCCACCCTTATTATATATCATTTTAGTTCTACATGACATTTTAACTGTCAATGTCATAATACTGTTTGCTTTTACTGCAATAAAATACACATATTTGTATTTGTTCAGCAAAGTCTCACGTGTAAAACAGTACCCCCTATGTACAGGTTTTATGGCGTTTTGGGAAGTTACAGGGTCAAATATAACACGTTACATTTGAAATTGAAATTCACCAGATTGGTTACGTTGCCTTTGAGACTGTATAGTAGCCCAGGAATGAAATTTACACCCATAATGGCATACCATTTGCAATAGTAGACACCCAAGATATTGCAAATGGGGTACGTCCAGTCTTTTTAGTAGCCATTTGGTCACAAACACTGGCCAAAGTTAGCGTTAGTATTTGTTTGTGTGTGAAAAATGCAAAAAACGCCAATTTTGGCCAGTGTTTGTGACTAAGTGGCTACTAAAAAGACTGGACATACCCCATTTGCAATACCTTGGGTTGTCTACTATTGCAAATGGTATGCCATCATAGGGGTCATTTTCATTCTTGGGCTACCAAAGGGTCTCAAAGGCAACGTAACCAATCTGGCGAATTTTAATGTGAAAAAAATGAAACATAAGCCTTATATTTGACACTGTAACTTTTGGAAACACCATAAAACCTTTACATGAGGGGTACTGTTGTACTCGGGAGACTTCACTGAACACAAATATTTGTGTTTCAAAACAGTAAAAAGTATCGCAGCAATAATATCGTCCGTGTAAGTGCGGTTTGTGTGTGAAAAATGCAAAAAACTTCACTTCTACTGGCGATATCATCATTGTAATACATTTTACTGTTTTGAAACACTAATATTTGTGTTCAGCGAAGTCTCCCGAGTAGAACAGTACCACCCATGTACAGGTTTTATGGTGTCTTGGAAAGTTATAGGGTTAAATATAATGCTAGCAAATTAAATTCCCTTTACTTTCGGCATGGGTTGTCAGGCAGGTCCCGCTAATTGTAATTAATTAAGATACCTAATTATGTAAAAATATTACATAAATATATATGTAGAATTAATATATGTATATATATATGTATATATATATATATATATATATATATATATATATAATTTTTAAAATATATATATATATATATATATATATATAGTGATATATACGTATATATTTATGTATATAGATATATATATTATTTGGTTCTACGTGTATTTTGATATAAATATATATATATTAATATCACAATACAGTTAGAACAAAATAACACACATCTATATATTTTTTATTATTTATTTTTAATTATTTTTTTAATTTTATTTTTTAACGTATTTACATATTTTTTTTAATATTATATATAAATATATATATAACAATAATTATATATATATTTAATCAGTATCAGTCTACGTGTAATTTGATATTAATATATATATATATATATATATATATATAATTATATATATATATTAATAGTAAAATACACCTAGACAGTGTGTGTGTGTGTGTGTATGTATATGTGTATATATGATATATATATGATCTAAGTATATAATTTTTTTTTTTTTTTTACACTTTTAATTTTATTTTATTTCCAGCCAGCAGGGGGACTACCTGTCATTACAGGCAGTCCCCCTGCTGGCAATACAGCAGCCAGCTATCCCGGCCATGTGATTGTGAGGTCCTTGCAAGGACCTCACTCTCACATGGCCGGGGGGGGGGGGCTGCAGCACATCGGATATGCTGCAGGGGGCTCCCTTGGAGTCCCCCCAACCGCGATCGCCGGCGTGGGATCGCCGGCAACCGGGTAAGTAAGAAAAAAACGGAGGGCGTACTATTACACCCGGCGGCGTTTAGAGCCGCCTAAAATAGGGCGTAATAGTACGCCCTCCGGTCTTAAGGGGTTAACTCCTAAATGACAGTGAATTGAGCAGTGAAATTGCAGGGGAATGATCTATACACTAAACTGCTTTATTTAGCTAAAGTAATTTAGGTGACTATAGTGTTCCTTTAATGTTTACTTTTGTCAAAGAGATATGCATTTGCTTATTAGTGGCTTTTGTGCTCCAAACAA